TCCAACTAAGTCATTCACCCATTTTATCTTAAAATGGGTCAAAAAGAAGGATAAAACTTGGAGGTCTTGTGTTGATTATGTGGAACTCAACAAACTCACAATTAAAGACAGATTTCCTATCCTTATCATCGGTGGTCTTCTTGATAAGTTGTATGGAGCTGCTGTGTCCTCAAAACTTGATTTGAGGTCTGGATACCATCAAATTAGAATGAAGGAAAATGACACTTACAACAATATTTAGAACTCATTATGGACACTATGAGTTCAAGATCACGTCCTTTGGCCTGATCAATGCACCTGCTACGTTCCAATCCCTCTTGAACCAGGTTTTTGAGGAATATTTGAGGAAATTTTTATTGGTTTTCTTTGACGACAAATTGGTGTACAAACCTTCTTTGGAGCAACATGTCAAACATATGGGGTTAGTGTTTGCCCTATTCAGGTAGCACAAACTTTTTTCCAGAAAGTCCAAATGCTGCTTTGCTCATAAAGAATAGAATATCTGGGGCACCTCATTCCAAACATAAGGTTAGAACTGACCCTAAAAAGGTCGAGGACCGACCACCCTAAATGGGGGATTTTTGGAATTCGGTGACAACTACAGAAAGTTTAATAGAATCTATGGGACTATTAGCAAACTGCTAATTGACATGTTGAAAAAAGATGTGGATTTATCTGGATAGAAGAGGCAAGGAGGGCTTTTGAATTGCTGAATGAAACAATGTCTCAAGCACCAATATTCAGATGAATCGATCTTTCCGAGCCATTTGTTTTGAGAAAAGATGCTTGTGGAGGTGGAATTGGTGCAGTCCTCATGCAAGACAACCAACCTATTAATTACATTAGCAAGGGTTATGCTAAAAGAATTAAGGGTTATCAATTTGTGAAAAGGAATTACTTGCCATCCTTTATGCCATAAGGAAGTGAAGACATTACTTGGAAGGAACACTTTTTATCATCAAGGCATATCAAAAAAGTTTTTTTTTTTTTTTGAAACTAAGGTAGATAAAAAAGTATCAGGCATTTGTTGGGGCAAAGGGTGACTATCATGATGCAGCAAAAGGGGATTGTCAACTTACTAGGACTAAACTATACTATTCAGTACAAAAAGGGAGTTGAAAATAATGTGGCAGATGCACTTTCCAGAAGAGAGTATGAGATTCAACACCAGAATGAAGTAACATCAATGGGCAGCAGTCACATTAAGCCACCTGCTTGAGTAGATGAAGTTACAGTAAGCTACTAGGAAGATTCGTATATTCAAAGCTACTGGAAGAGCTGATGATTAGGTCAGATAGTAGACCACCGCATCAATTGAAAGCAAAGGTATTAAGATATAAAGGAAGGTTGGTTATTGGTGCATCATGAGAATTAAGCAAAAATTAATTCAAGAATGTCATAACACTGCAATGGGAGTACACTCTGGAATCAGGGGGACATATGAACGTCTCAAGCAATACTTCTTCTGGCCTGGCATGAAGGATGATGTGGTGAAGTGGATATAAGAATATGAAGCGTGTTAAAGGTATAAAACTGAGAAAATCCAATACCAGGGCTACTACAATCTCGTCTCCTACCCAACTAGGTTTGGACTCAATATCGATGGATTTTGTTGAGCAGCTGCTTAAATCAAATAATAAAGATACCATTATGGTCGTGGTAGATTGATTAACCGAGTATGCACACTTCATGACTTTGAAACACCCCTTCATTGCTATAAAAGTAGCTCAAGTGTTTCTTGACCATGTTCGCAGGCTACATGTAAGTCCTAAAGTGATAATCTCTAATCGTGACAACGTTTTCACCAGCTCATTCGGGAAGGAATTAATGCGGATAACAGGACCATATTATATTATAGTTCCTCTTGTCATCTCCAAATTGATGGCTAGGTCGAGAGACTAAATCAATGCTTAGACATTTATCTCATATGTATGACCCATCAAGATACCAAATCCTGGGTTAAATGGATCAGTCTGATTAAATGGTGGTACAACACCATCTACTATTCAAGCATTAAAATGTCATCTTTCCAAGCACTATATGGATATCTTCCACCCCATTTTATGGATATCATTAACATAAAAACTCTTTTTGTAGACTTGAAAACCTTCATGGAGGAGAGACATAAGATGAGTAAGGCTCTCAAACAACGACTGGAATCTCAAAATAGAATGAAGCAGTTTGCTGATAGCCACCGATCAAAGAGGCAATTTGAAGAAGGAGATCTGGTGTTGCTCAAGTTACAACCCTATCAATAATCCTGCCTCGCAAAAAAAAAGAACCAAAAACTAACACCAAAATTTGATGGATCTTATAAAATTGAGAAGAAAATAGGTGCAGTAGCTTACAGATTTCAATTACCTACTCAAGCTAGAATACATCTAGTCTTTCATGTATCTCTACTAAAGAAATACAATGCTAGACGACAAAGATCTTGGGGATCTAGAAGAAATAGACATAACGGAGTCAGAGAAAATCTTGCAAACATGAACAATTAGTAGCAAGGGAAAGCACAAAGAACAATGGTTGGTTAAATGGAAAAGGTCGAATGAGAGAACTTGGGAGGATTCCCAGCGTTTGCCACGGCAATTCTCCATCTTAACCTTCAGGGCAAGGATTCTTCTCAAGGAGAGGGAGTTTTTTAGGGAGTAGGCTCACTGAGAAATGAATAGAGTTGAGAAGCTCATGGTGAGGAAAATGAGACGAAAGGCAGGGGATCAGGCTGGGCTCACAAGAGAAAAGATGAAATGGCAAGCAGAAAAACAATCTCGATTGGGGTTTATAAAAAAAGAGCCAAACACGGGGCTGTTGAGGAAAGAGAGGGACACGCGTTTGCCATTAGGTGTAGCAGAGTGGGAATGGGGATACCTGTCTTCCATTGGAGGACAAAGCGTGATACGTGGAAAAAGATTTGGGGGCATATTTAAGGGGAATACAATTGGGTTAGTGTATACGAATGAGGCTAGAATTCACCTCGCCATCTAAGGTTTCTCGCATCTCGCAGGTTCTCTGGTGAATCTCAGGCGATTCATAGCAATTGTTATTCCTTTCAAGTTTAAGTTCGTGTATTTTGTAAATCTCTGTGTAGTAAGCTTAATATTGGTATATTTTCATCAAATCTGTTTTCCTCTAGACATCTTTCCTCTTTCTTGTCTCTCTTTTCCTCATTTCTTTCCAATCTAACCCTCTTCTTCTTCATTTGGCACTCAAATCATCAGGTATATGTCATATATACTTTGGCACAAGACAGCCTCCCAATTCCTTTTCATAATAGATGAGCGGAAATTCCGGACGAAAACAATGTAGGATTAACATGATATAAAATATCTTTATGTTAATGTCTTGTTTTATCTGTTATTACCGTGGGAAAACCTGCACTTGCTGTTTCTGTACACTGGGTTGATGAGGGATTTCTCTCTTCATGTTCTTATTTCAATAAAATTATCAATGCAGTGCTTGACATTATTCATATGTCACAAGTACCTGACACAAGACATCCTCTCACTTCCTTTTCATGATAGGCAACTGGAAAGTCCGGAAGAAAACAACATAGAATTAACATGATATAAAATATCTTTATGTTAATGTCTTGTTTTAACCGTTATTACCATGGGCAAAACCTGCATTTGTTGTTTCAGTACACTGGGTTGATGAGGGATTTCTCTCTTGTTCTTATTTCAATAAAATTATCAATGCAGTACTTGACATTATCCGTATGTTTTAGGTTGCATTCAGAGCTCTTGCTGGCAAGGGTTACCCGACACTGCAAAGTTTGTTACTGGACTTTTACAACTCACAACCAGGTGAAGCGCTTCTGAATGCACTACTGGACATGCTTGTTGATGGCAAGTTTGATATAAAAGGATGCCCTGTTATAAAGGTAATTTGACTTCGAAATTATTATTTTTTTGATATCTTTGTATATTGCTATGGTCAATTAACGTGAATATTATTCACTATTAAGCATGAGTAATTGTTGGCTGTTTTGTTTCAAAAAGGAAAAAAACTGTTTGATGTGTAAGTGAGACACCAGTCAGTATTCTCATAAAAACTTTGTCTACTTTTGGCTCAGAACGAAGATGTGATCATTCTTTATCTGAATGTTCTGCAGAAGGTTAGTACTTAACTTGGATTTTTCCTTTGTTCCTGTAACTGCTTGAATTTTGCAATAACTGTTTTTTTTTTCTTTGTGAAATTATTTGTATTTTCTTTGGTTTCTAATTGTATAAAACAATCCAATTTTGTGATTGGGCAGAGCAGTGACTCTTTGCGATACCATGGACTCAACTTATTTCAGCAGCTGCTTAGGGATTCTCTATGTAACCGAGCTTCATGTGTCAGAGCAGAATGCTCAACTTTCTTCTTGATTGGTTTTCTCAAGAGATGATGATACCATTGTTTTGAGATTGCTCAACTGATTCAAGTCATAGGTGGGCATAGCATATCTGGGAAGGATATTCGCAAAATTTTCGCACTCCTCCGAAGTGAGAAAGTGAGGAATCAGCAGCAGTATTGCTCACTGCTTTTAAACAGTGTTTTGTCAATGCTGAATGAGAGGGGACCAACTGCATTTTTTGATCTCAATGGGAATGATTCTGTAAGTCTTACGTGGCATCGTTGAAGAATCTATATATATCTGTCTTGTAATGAATATTTGTTTTCTTTTTCTTTTTTTGCTTGAGCTTAAAGGATAAAACTCATCGCTACAAATATATGTTAGGAATGATTGAATGTGCACTTTATCGAATAATGCAGCCCTATATATATATATGTTTTCTCGAATAAAAAGGAAAATAAACAATTAATTATATAAAGTGTAATTTACCTTGATGTCCTTTTACCTAATTACATATAGTACACTCTCTTTAAGACTTCATTTCAAGTTAGGAATTAGATATGTCAATTCTCAATAGTCTGGAATGTTGGATTGCCTAGATCTTTGGTCAACATATTCGTAATTTTGTGAGCTGGTCGATATCTATGGAGTACATTTTAAACCAGGGTTTAACTTCTTTTTAATGAAATGCTTGTCAACCTCAATATATTTTGATTTTGTCATGTTGCATCATGTTATGAGCAATACATATGTCTGATTTATTATAATAGTATAGTATGCCCAAGGAAGGTGACCTATGCTAGATCTTCTGTCTACCATTGACCCTCCATAGTCTGCACTATATAAATTTTTAGGAGCAATTTGTCATTCTTTCTAAACATGAGTTCTTTCTCAGGTATCACTTTTAGGTAATATAACATTTTATAAGTGTATTTTTTTAGAGTTATACGTTAACTAACTTATAACACTCATTGTATAGGCATTGTCTGGTCTTATATGCGACATGTAGATTAATCTCTCAACTAATCTCTAGTACATCTCTTTATCTACTGACGCATTCTCTTCTACTACCCTAATTTATAATTAGGATCAAATAGGAGTACTAATTGGTTTACATGCTAGTTTGCCAACATTTTTTAACAGGTCATGAATATGTTTTTGCTGGGAGATAAAGGTCTCAGATTTTGAGCATGCAACTTTAATCGTAATGAAGTACTTCAACTTATATAACTTCTTGATTTCAAACTCCTTTGTCAGACATTCTTTGAGTATACCTACAAAACCTAAGGTTGAGAAAGATGATTGTCATCGTACTACAATATAGCAAACTCTTGTAATTTGTGGACCCAAAGCCAAAAGCTTGCTATCAATGGTGTATTGTCTGCCTCAATTGTAGTGTGTTTTAAACTTCCCATAAAACCACATTCACAATTTTTTTTTTTTGAAAACAAAAGTGTAAAGTTAAACATTCACAACCTTATAAGTTAGTATGGATTAATGAGATGACAATTCGGTTACTCAGCTATTCGATGTTTCTTTCTACTGTGTTGACTATAGAGACACCATCTTGTGTGATGTGTTCTTATGCAATTTACCTCATATTCTTCTTAGTCGACATTGACTATATGATTGAGATGTACACCATAGTAGCTGAGAAAATACGTATTCCTCTTTTATAGGAAAAAGAGACATACCAAGATATAAAAAAACTGAGGCAAGGAAAGCTGCAAACTAGTGGCTAAGTAGAAAGAAAAAAACTTTAATTTTTTCGCAAAAGCAATTTAAAATAGAAAGAAAGGAATCAAAAGTTGTTTTTGTTGTCATAAGTAGGGATGTGAGGAACCGGGAGCATATTCAATCGGAGAACACCACTAGAAGTGGCTAGGTTATTCTCTAACTTTTCTTATGTTGCTGCTATATATTTACCAGATGAACTCCCTCCATTGTATAATATTGAACATGCGATTGATCTAGTTCTTGAATCTCAATTATCAAACCTGCCAATCTATTATATGAATGCAAGGGAACATATTGAACTTAAGTCACAAGTCGATAAGTTATTGCTTAAGGGATTTAAATGAAAGAGTTTAAGCCCATGTGCTGTCCTAGCATTACTTCCCTCTGAGAAAGATGGGACCTAGAGAATGTTTGTGGATAGTTGCACAATCAATAAGATTACCATCAAATATAGGTTTCCAGTACCTCATCTTGACGACATGCTAGTCCTTGTGGCAGGCTCCACCTTTTCCAAGATATATTTGAATAGCGGATATCACCAAATTCACATGAGACCAAGAGATGAGTGGAAGATGGTGTTCAAAACAAAGGATGCTTATATGGATGGTTAGTCATGCCATTTGGGTTATCTAATACGCTGAGCACCTTATGGATCAAATGTTCCTAGCTTTTAGTCGGAGATTTCTTGTTGTCTACTTTGTTAATAGTCATATCTTCAATAAGACCAAGGAGGAATGCATTTTTCATTTATAACAGGTTATGGGATTAAGTGAAAAAAAAACTCCATGTTAACACAAAATGCATTTTCATGACAGCCAATGTTGTTTCCATGGGATTTATCGTCTCCTCAAATGGAGTATAAGTTAATCAATAAGGATTTATCATCTCTTCAAATGGAGTAAAAGTTTATCCATAAAAGTTTAAAGCTTTCCAAGAGTGGTCAACTCCCAAAACTCTACATGAGGTATGAAGCTTCCATGACTTGGCATTCTTGTACAGGAGGTTTATCGAGGCTTTAACACTGTAATGGCACCTATTACTAACTGCATAAAGAATGAAAAGCTTGCCTTGACTGAAATAACATCTAGAGCTTTTAAAAACATCGAGTAGAAATTGGCAGAAGCACTTGTTCTGCATCTTCCTGACTCCAAGGTATAAGAAGTTGCTTGTGATGCATCTCAAGTATGAATCGATTCTGTACTTAGCTAAGATGACATCCAATTGTGTATTTTAGTAAGAAGCTTGATATATAGAACAAAGTGTGTCACGTACAAAGATTCTATGCCATTATGCAACACTTTGACATTAAAGTATTACCTACTCCTAAAACAGTCTGT